TTCTTCTAATTTATTAAACAATTTTTCATTAAAGGACGTCAGTAACGGATTCAAAATCAACCCTTGAGAGTAGCTCACCAATATCCACAAGGGGCGCCAAAGATTTTTGGTATGTTTAAGCAAATTCTGACTCCTTGGAACTGGTGTGAGTCCAAAACGGAACCTTGTCAGGTGGTGTACGAAGCTTTAAGTCGATGCCGCGTTGCTTAAACCATGCTCATTAAAGAAATCGGAGGCTGACAGATTTATGCTGTTATTCGCCTTGGTAGAGTTCAGCAATGCCACCTGCTGAGTCATGGAAGAAGGCCAAAATTTGCGCTAGTTATCCCTGCAATGGACATACATGCGGAAATAGTGAGATCCTTCATCATAAGAAAATATGACTGGAAGAGATCAGTAATATTCACCTGGTTGAAGGTAAATACTTCTGCTGTCTGTTGGGAAAGTTCGTTCATGGTTTTGGAAATTTTGATTTCGCTTAATTTATCATATCTTTCTTTGCTAAATCACATGAGATACGTTTAGTTTTGTACGCCATCAGTGAGGGCGTGCTAAAGTTAATAAGTGTATTTATTGCCAGTCAAAGTAAGAGATGTGTTTGTAGAATTCGTTTCAACTTGGTGTCCAAATCTAACGGTTTCAGCAACATTCATCAGACAAAGAGTTTGAAGACGTCTCTGAAATGTTCATTTTGATTGATTATGGAAAGCTTATCAGTTGGTCGCGCTTGGAGTCGTTTTCGATTGATGCTTTTATGGTGGAGAATATTTATAGAGGCTTGATATAATAGGACAATTATGCTGGAAATCAAGAGCTTATTTTCGCGCTGTTTGAAGGAACAGAAATTCGAGAAATTGAACTATCGAATTAGTCATGAAACCTACAAAAAACGAAACCAAGGGAACTAAGGAACTACAAGCGGATCAGTGCATCATCTACAAGATCTTCATGCAGGTACTGACGAACAGGCTCCAAGAAAAACTGGATTCTCACAGCCAAAGGAGCAAACACAATTCACAAGTGGATTTAGTACAATTTGCCATGTTCAGGCATTATATAAAGTAATTCAAACACAATTAACGAATGACAGCTTCCGTTGCCCGTGGCTAGTCGATTTCGAGAAGGTTTTCGACTCAGCTTACATTCGTTTTGTACTGGATTCCTTTAGGAACCAGGTAACAGAGAAAAGACCTCATCGTTATAATTTGCAAAAATGTAACTCGGGAGGTTCACGAACGCAGAGACTAGTTCAAAGTCGAAAGGAGCGTCCCACGGATATACGCAATATCACCAGACTCATTCAAAGCAGCCCTGGTGTAGGTTTTTATGACACTCCTTTGAAACTTCGCACTGAGCATGTATGACACTACTTGCGCAACCTGCGGTTGGCCAACAAAATCTTGATTCTCTCAAGACTATCGGAAAAACCACAATGAAAGTGAACGATGTGAGCATGGAAGTAGGACTGAAAGTTAATGTAATGAAGTCACAGGTCATTTCTAACAAATACATGAGCCCATGACTTGCTGAAGTCAAAGAACTTAGGCTTGAATTGAAACAAAACTACGTCTTTCTGGAACTGGTCACGTATGCAACGCAGAATCAACGATACGAAATCAGCTGATGGGCAGACAACGCTCTGTGTGTATTTGAAAGAGTGAAAAAATTCCTATCAAGGAAACTGTACTTGTACTTGAGGAACAAATGTCTCGACTAGTGTGTGCTTCCAATGCCAACTTATGGGTGTGAATCGTTGATCCTAAGCCTAAAGGCTATTCATAAACTACAGACATAGTCACGCAGCATTGAAAGATGTACGTTGGGAATTAAAAGGAAGGATAGATGAACGAATGAATGAGTAAAGGCATAAACAAGAGTCTGCAATGCCATTGGCCAAGT